GTCACGCGGCCCCGCCCCCACATCCACGGCCCCGCCCCGCCCCCATCCGCGCCCCGCCCCCACACCCGGGGCCCCGCCCCGCCCCACGGCCCGCCCCGCCGTCACCTCCTCCCACTGGTGGATGTAGCGGATGAGGCGCGACAGGCGCAGGAGGCGCAGCAGGCTGAGGATCTTGGTGAAGCGCACGATGCGCAGGGCGCGCGCCGTCTTGTAGACCTCGGAGTCGATGCCCTTCTCCACGATGAGAAAGATGTAGTCCACGGGGATGGAGGACACGAAGTCCACGACGAACCACGTGCGCAGGTACTTCCTCTTGATCTTCTCAGGGTCCAGGATGATCTCCGTGTTGTCCTCGATCACGATGCCCGTGCGGAAGTTCAGCACCAGATCCATGAGGAAGAACGTGTCCGAGACCACGTTGAACACGATCCACGGCGCCGTGGTCTCATCCTTGAAGAAGGTGATGCCCACCGGGATTATGATGAGGTTGCCCACCATGAAGAGGAGCATGGTGAAGTCCCAGTAGAACCTGCCGGCAAGGCGGCCGTCTGTCACACCTCCCAGCCTTGGTCCCTGCCGTCCCCCCCTCCCCCGGGGACGTGTGCCTTCCAGGACCAGCCCCCATCTCACCTCCTCCTGCAAAGCCCAGACTTCGGCCTGCGTCATGGCCAGTGTGGACCTCGCCTCCAGGAAGCCCTCCCACCCCCCAGACTGCACCCAACTCACCCCACTGTCCACTGGGCGCCCCCAGCCCGGGTCCCTCCCGCTGGCCCAGCCCTGGCACAAGGTTGGCATCCAGAAAACATTAGGGACGAGAAAGGAGAGAGGAGACGGCAGAGAGGAGCTGGGGCGGCGGGAGTGGGGGGTCTGGAGCAAGGAGTGTCGGGCCTGCTGGGTGGCAGGCATGGTGGGGACGTTGGGGCCAGAGAGGGCAGGGTGGGAGCTGGACATGCGCAGCCCGATGTCTGGGGCTGCAGGGCCCCAACACGCTCCCAAGCCGCCGGGCTTCCACGTGGGGCCCTGGAAGGCTGAGAGGCGGGGCACCGGCTGGCTTCCACTTCAGGAGGCAATCCTGGGGGCCGAGACAGGAGGAGGAGGGGGCGCCTGTCCAGCAGGGAGGAAGAGGCCAGGGTTGGGCGGGCCGGAGCGGAGGGCGGAGTGGGTGGGGGAACCTGAGCGACAGGACTTGCGGCCGCTCGGACGTGTAACGTGATAAATACGCCTGAAAAAGTGGTGACCGGTCGCGTCCACTCCCAGATACACCAGGACGATAGAGTCCCCGAGGTCGACACCAAAATTCTCCCTGGGAAGCGCTCTCAGAGAAAGGCCCGGCCACTCAAGGAATATCTACTGATGGCGGGCACAGTGTTCTGAATAAGGCATGTTCCCACGAGGACACACAGACACAGCAAAAGCCCACATGGACCGATGCCCGGCCCCACAGCAGTCGAGAAAACGCAAATCAAAACCACTCCGAGGGAAAACTGTCTGTCGGTTCCTCAAAAAGTTAAACAGAATCACCATCTCACCAGCAGTTCCAGTGTGACTCATCGATGCCACACGGTGGACACACCCGAAAGTCCCTCAGTGGGTGAACAGATCCACACAACGTGTCCATCCACACACTGGAATATAACGCAGCCGTGAAGAGAAGTGAGGCCCTGACACAGCCACACCGTGGATGGACCCTGAACACACGACGCTCAGTGAGAGAACCAGACACAGAAGGACACACGGTGTGTGATTCCACTGATGTGAAATGTCCAGAACAGGCACATCCACAGACAGAACGTGGGTTCATGGTTGTCAGGGGCTGGGGAGGGGATGGGAGTTTCCGTTTGGGAAGGTGAGAAAGTTCTGGAAATGGATGGGATGATGGCTGCACAACAACATGACTGTACTTAATGTCACTCAACTGTGCACTTTTAAATGGCTAAACACCAAATTTTATGTTATATATATGTTAACACTACAAAAGAAAAAAAAAAAACCCGAGGATCTGAGCCCACACGCCCCATCTGGATTCAGGCAAAGTAGGGTCCTGAACTCCGAACAGAGTCATTTACTTGATTTTGCCCCTAACTTCGCAGGGAGAGACACCCACCCCAGATCACGTCAGCTGGTTTAGCTCTCTCGAGGTCTTCGTCCTCCTGTAGGCCCAGCTCCCGCCTCGTCATGGCCGGAGTCCCCACTCCACTTAGAGAAGGCTCATCACATGTGGGCCCATGCGGCCCGGAGTGACCCTCAAAGGCTGCCACTCCCCGGGCCCCTCCTCTCAGATGGATAGAAGAAGAGACTGAGGTTCCGAGGGGCTGGAGGGACTTGCCCGAATTAGCACAAATAAATAAAAAGCAGTAAGACCCAGGGCTGGCACAGTCAGCTCCCTATTTCGGGAGCCACCGTCATTGGCTCCCTTCTGGACGGCCCTGCGAGGGAAGAGCTACTAACACCACGCCTGCCGGCTGACCCGGCCGTTCCACTTGGGGGAACTGATCCCAAGGAAGTTGTCCAAGAGGAAGAAGAAAAAAATTACAAAGTGATTTGTACCAAGATGTTCACAGCAGCTCGGTCTGCGACAGCCAGAGTCTGGAAGGGACCCAGCGTCTGACACCGTGGAGGCGGCAGCCAGACCGGGCTGTCACCCAGCTCTCTCTGCCCGCTGGCTGGTGTGACCTTGGGCGAGTCCCTCCAGCCCCCGGGAACCTCAGGCTCTTCTTCTGTCCACCGGGAGAAGGCCAGGGAGTGGCAGCCTTGGAGGGTCCTCCTGGGCACGGTCCTGCCACACGTGGTGGAGCCTTCTCTGAGCGGACTCGGGGCCTCCGCCACGAGGGGAAGGGAGCTGCACAAACCCGCCTGGGGTGGAGGTGAAGACCTTGAGAGCTAAAAGGTCTGACAGGATCTGGGGGTGCGTGTGAAGGGCAAAATCAAATGACCGCTTGAAAATCAAGACCCTCCTTTGCCTGAATCTGGGCAAGGTAGGGGCTCAGACTCCAGATTTGGGGCATCTGCTCATCCTCAAGACCCCCAGGGCCCAGCACCCAACGGGATTGGGGGCCCGACCTGCCTGCTGCCCCTGCTCCGCATCCCCGACCCCCAGAGCGTCCTCCGTAGAGCTGATCCCACCCAAGTCCTCTCTGGACTGAGACCTGCCCCCCCCACACACTTCATGGCACACAAAGCAAGCAGGAAGGAGCAACTGAGGCCAAGGGGCCTAGAAATCACCAGGGGGCCGAGAAACCAAAGGGAGGGACCTAAAAACCACAGGGGGAGGGCCGGCCTTGTGGCTTAGCGGTTAAGTGCGCGCGCTCTGCTACTGGCGGCCCGGGTTCAGATCCCAGGCGCGCACCGACGCACCGCTTCTCCGGCCACGCTGAGGCCGTGTCCCACATACAGCAACTAGAAGGATGTGCAACTAGGACGTACAACTATCTACTGGGGCTTTGTGGAAAAAAGGAGGAGGATTGGCAATAGATGTTAGCTCAGAGCTGGTCTTCCTCAGCAAAAAGAGGAGGATTGGCACGGATGTTAGCTCAGGGCTGATCTTCCTCACACACACAAAAAAAAGATGTTAAAAAAAAAAAAACAGAGGGGGAGGTGGCTAGAAACCACTGGGGGGCCTAGAAACCACCATGGGGCCGAGAAACCACCGGGGTGCCTAGAAACCATGGGGGGCTGAGAAACCAAGGGGGGGTGCCCTAAAAACCACAGGGGGAGGTGGCCAGAAACCACCAGGCAGCCTAGAAACCACCCAGGGGCCTAGAAATCACCAGGGAGGTGTCTAGAAACCACCAGGAGGCCTAGAAACAACCTAAATGGCCATAGAGCACGAGGGCATCCTTGACAGGTGACTCTCCCCAGACAGTCTCTCCTTTTATTCTTGGGGTGGGCGGGGGTGGGGGTGGGGGCAGGCACCACACTTGCCAGCTGACAGACCAGAGGTGGCCCAGCCAAGGAGCAGGGGGCAGAGAATTGAGACCCAGGCCTCACGCCCAGCCTGTCTTCCAGGCTGGGTGGCACCCCCTGGGCTCATGAGCGGTCGGAGCAGAGGGCAGGCGACTGGGGAGGGCCTGAGGGGCAGGAGGCCGAGCGCCACCCCCAGGGCACCCCGCCTGCTCCAACGGGGAGGCCCCACCTGGCCTGGGGCCCCGACCTTGTCTCTCCACCAGCCTGGTCCCCCCGGAAGGGGGCAGGAGGGGGAAGAGGGGCCTCCCACCTACCGAGGGGAAACTGAGGCCTGGGGCAGAGGATCCAGCTGGGGGACAGAGCAGCCCTCCAGGGACCAGGGGGACCCAGGGACCACGGGGACATGGTCAGGCAGCCAGCGGGCGCCTGGTGCACAGTCAGCCCTCGGCCACCCAGGGTCCTCCTCGTCACACCCCAGCTGGGACCAGGGACCAGCCAGCTCGGCTGTCGCGGGGGATTTCCAGGAAGAACATCAATGACCACAATTAAATCCCATAGTTTATGGGCCGGCCCTGTGGCTTGGTGGTTAAGTGCGCGCGCTGCGATGCTGGTGGCCCGGGTTCGGATCCCGGGTGCGCATCGAGGCACCACTTCTCCGTTCATCCTGAGGCCGAGTCCCACATACAGCAACTAGAAGGATGTGCAGCTACGACACACAACTATCCACTGGGGCTTTGGGGGGAAAAATAAAATAAATAAAATCTTTAAAAAAAAAAATAAAATAAATCCCATAGTTTAAAATCTTCCTAACGAATAACAGGGCAGCCCGACGGGGCCCTGCATCTGCGGAAACACCCAGATCCCTGTGTGTCCGTCCTGCCGGACGGGCCATTTCACGCCTTGTTCACAGAAAGAAGCTTGGCCCCCAGAGGCGCAGGGACGAGTCAGGGTCTCGGGGAGCCGAGGGCCCAGTGGCAGTGACCCCGGCCCCAGGCCTGGGCTTCTCGGCTCTGGTGCCCCGTGGATGGGGACAGCCTGGAGCCCACTCACCCCACGGGCTGTGATCTCCTGGGGTGACAAGTGCCCCATCCTGCCAGGACCATGCAGGGCAGGGGCCAGACGAGGGCCAGGGGTTCTTTGCCCCCGGTCCCCCTGCAGGGACGTCCTGGGAGCTCAGCCCAGGCCCCACGGCCGCTGGTCGGGGACACAGCTCCCCCCTGCAGGACCCGAGAACCAGAACCAAGAACCCGGCGGCGGCAGCGCGGGAATTACAGATCCGGCAAATCCGAGGGGATTAGGGACCGGGCTCGGCGATTAAGGGCCAGCAGGGGATGGAGGATTAGGGGCCTGAGCCCTCAGATGTGAGTCACGGATCCGAGGCAGGTGTCAGAGATTATGAAAGGGACACTCCATCGGGGGAAGAGGCCAGATTCCCAGGGGATCCCACGACGGGGCAGACTGTGGCGCCGACTGTATGCCGGGCCCGGAGGACACACAGTGACCAGACAGAACCGGCCCTGCCTGGGGGTCCCAGCCCGGTGGGGGAGACGGGCGTCCCACACAGACAGATAAACGGACGGGATGCGTCAGAGGAGCCCCTTTAGCCAGGGTGGGCACGGAGGGCTC